GACGTGTTCGTAAAGCCGGCTTGCTACCGATCAGTTTCTTCTCTTCTTGTACCGATTTAACATTTATACGTCACAAAGAAACACGAAAGCCCGCCGTCTTTTTGCCGATATACTCGAATTCATTCCCTTTGGTTTTTTTGGTTTTCTCTTCACGTGACAATACTTTAACGCTTCGTGGGCGAGAAAATCGGTACGTATGATTCGGAAGACGAGATTGCAGCAGGATTAAATAGAGGAACGACTAAAATATCTTTCTCGACATGGGATAAACACACCGGTTTCGTTTGTAGTATTGCAGTTAACTTGTACTAATCTTCGTCCGCACAATGTTGGGTATATGTAAGGTAAGATTTTCTGAATAAAACTACGCGAGATTCTACACATTTGTACAACTTGTTTGGCGATTAATCAATTCACTAACGCGACTTAATCTCACGAGTCGTGTCCTCGTTTATTGATATCAAGAAAACGTGCAATAGCATTACACTTCCGTTCATCGTTTCTCTTTGTTTTACTTTGCAGAAAAGCTACATACTTGTCACGTCCCGTTGTTATCTCGTAATAGTCTTTTGTAGTTGCATACACTTGTGTGTAACTACATATATACGACTAGTTTTGGTTACATAAATTTGCATACGCGACTCAAGAGACTCATGCTCAAGTGAATAGATAACTACGTAAGCTGCCTTGAATTGTGATCAATAAAATCAACTTAACCCATATGTCTTGTGATTAGTTTTAAGAGATCAATAAGTTCTAAGAAGAAATATTATTTATACATGTTGTACAGTTACGCTTTTTAACAAAATAAAATAGCCAACGTAAGTAATCAAACATCAGCAATAAAATAATAGATAACAGAATATAAGAAACAATTATTTCCTTAATCCAAATTATCAGTTGCTAAATAAAATACACATATACGCATGGGATTAAAACGACAGAAATATAATACTGTATGACTTGAGACAATCAATTTCTAAGATAAACATTGTGATCAACTACGATACTCATCATCAAATGATTTGTCATATTTTGTGCGAGACGTAGAACGTCTGGTGACGTAACGTTTTGTTCCGTTGAATTTTTAACGGTTAACCTCTTTCGAAATGATAGATCGATCACTACATTGATCCAGTCGCCACAACGAACGACAGGCGGCACTGAATTCGACTCGAGAGATCGCAGAATCCTTCTCACGGCTATGTGTGCGAGGAGGAGTGTGTAACGGGCCACTGGCCGGTGGAATTAGTTTCTTTTTTTGAGGCAGGTCACTGACACCGAACGGCGATGGATTGACGCGGCGGGGTCAAGTTCTACGTGCGCTGTCGACAGTACTTCGCGTTTAAAGGTATAGCTGAGCATTCCTTGCGGGATATCGCGTTACTTACGGCACCACGATCAATCGTCCCAACTCAGTGTTTGACTATGTAACGAAGGATGCAAGTCGTAAATCGTTGCGAAAGGTGTGAACGGCGTTATTCGTGGCAAGCAAGTCAACTATAATATGTTTTTAACATGGGAATAAAGGAAAAGTGTTTTGAGCGTTATGCCCTTCTGTAAGTCACCCCAAAAGTCACCTAACCTAACAGTAAATATTGCTTTGTTATCGACCACGTTCCTAATAATCGTGCAGTGTTGACAACTCGTTGGAAGACATTCCACTCTACAACTATTTACACGCTACGTAACCTGCTTAAAATGTACAATATTTAGAAATTTTTTACGATACTAGATTTTACGGTTGACTTTAATTTTCCAACCTACGAGCATCGGTGTTACGTCACACACTTTTTAAATATTATCATTCGTTAAATCGGTTTTTGTATTGTATCACGTTTGCTCGTCGCGTATGAAATATCGTGTGTGTTCAAATATTTGCTACGCTCATCGAAATATCACACTCGTCGAAAGCTTTATGTGTAATTCAACGTTTGAATTTGAAATGTTAACACATTTACGTGCTATTTCTATTATTCTTGTACGATTAAGACTTAAAGTTTTGAAATCTAATTAAAATTGAACTGCTTGGTAATTTCATAGCTATTCTGTATACGATTAAAGTTTGTATATTAATGTAGAAATGAAATAGCATACATATTTCACGAGGACTTCACAATAGTGTGTAAGAGTTATATTTTATGATGCATAAAAAAATTACGCAGAGCAAAAATTCCATAAACTGATTTATAAAGAACATAATATCATCTTTTAAAATATTGCATACATATATGAAACTACGACTAAATAGCGAATGGATAATTGTAACTATCTATAAATATGGAAATATATCAAAACGATGAAATCAAGTATAAGGTACGTGTAAAATAACTGTTCCTCGTAACTTCTTTTCGAGTCAGAGCGGAAAATGTATAAATGAATTCCATACAGAAGAACGCAAATAACGGTGCTCACCATCAAGATGGAGGTTAGGTTAATTAATTATCGAAGCACCTTGAGAAACGCCCATATAATTTTTTTTCTTCGTTTCAATATCACGCAATATCTTTTAATATATGTAGCAAACGTTTTTACATCTTGAGAAATGGAACACAGTACATATGTACATTTCTATTTCTCTTTTAACCGTATCATTACTACTTCGTGCTAAAGTGTCGGGATGTTATTGAATATCGTATACTCAAATCTTGCATTATAAAGCAAATTATAACGTTTAATATAACGAATAACGTTTTTTTTATTTGGTAATGAATGAAAAATCTGTTCCTTACGTATTGCATTTATATTAATTATTCAAACAAATGAAGTAATTTCTTTTTACGTGTAACAATGAAAGAATTCACACAGTGGTACGAATTTAATAGAAAACGGAATAAAGTAGGAAAACTTATGTTATATTTGCAGGTTTATTATATTCATTTCTGTTAATATAGTAAATCTTCTGGGACACGCACGTCTTAATTCGATGTTCACGGATCTTTCACGCGACCAAAGAAGTCACACTTAATTATTATTCACGAGAATACACGCGCGCGTGCGTGCGTGTAGCACATGTTCATTTATTCATAGCATTCTTGCTGCTTTTTTACACTGAATTAGGTAACTAAATATTTTTAAATCGATGATGATCGACTAAGATTTTTCAGGTAATGCAAATTAAGGCGGTTTTTTAACAGATTCAGTATATTTATAATAAACACTCATACATCGCATATTCTCCTTATATAGACAGCTTTTCTGGACAAACGGTTGACGACCGCATAAATTGTGTTAATTAAGTTGATCAGATGCAATTAAGGGCTCATTATGCTCCTTCTCAACCAATTCCCCTCTTCTTCGATAAAAAAATAAATTCCCTAGGGTATTGTTAAAAATAAAATCAGTGCATCCGTTTAAATATCACCAATATTGTGATCTTTCTTTTTATCGATATTTCAACCTTCTTTATATTAATCAAATTAATTGTTAATTATGAAAGCAGACTAAATTTAAAATTGAAAAATTAATTTTGCTATTTCTTGCTATTCGTGAATTCTAATTTTTTTTAATTCTAATTTTTGCTATTTATGAATTTTAGGTTAAAATTCGAATATATTCAAACAAAAAATACGTGACTGAGTCTATTATTACGTATAATCACCAACACTATTACACATATTTTATGTGACCTTAGATTATAACGTTATTTAACGAAAGTAGAGCGTTTAGTACGATTTTCTAATTGATTTGTTAGCGTCGAAGGAATTCGAACATCAGGTATGTCTGTTTTACAACATCTTACATACATATCTCTAGAGTCATGAATGGCGTTTCGATAACGGAATCAAGATATAGATAGATGCACTATTGTTGTTTCTCCTGTTATCGCGTTATTTTATCAGAAAACATTTAATCAAACGTATATAACGACCGACAAAGGTAATGTTATGAAAAATTCGAGGTAATTCTTTCGCTGAAACACGTCAGACTGATGTTATTACGTTCAAGTTTCTCTCATATGTTTCTATGGCGGAGACAAGAACATCCTTTTATCTTCTATTTATCTCTTCCTAAAATCTGATATTAATTTTACCATTTGTCCTAGATTTTACCGCTGTTGAGAATTACAACCGATCTCTCGCCATAAATATTCTCAGATATGGTCTTTTTGGATTCCATATTAAATGCTTTCATCAACGATTTTACCGCTGTTGAGAATTACAACCGATCTCTCGCCATAAATATTCTCAGATATGGTCTTTGGATTTCATATTAAATGCTTTCATCAATGTACCATTGGAAATTGAAATATTAACGAAGTATCATTGGGTAAAAGAGTAATTAATTCATCCACCACAACGATGTGAAATCTCTTATTTCTCCACGAATAAACGATTCTTTCATGTTTTCTTACGTGAAATCTATTTTACATCTTACAATTGTTACGCTCGTTAAAATGCAAAACTTCCAGGTGTGCGAAGATTTACATGGAACATAAAAAATGGAAACAAGTCCTATTGTACGACGCTTAACTTTCACGGATAATTTAAATCGCCGGTGAAAGTGCGCCATCAGAAACAACTTTAAACTCTCGCAGGAACTTAGCGCCGAATGAATTTTTTAATTAACCGATTCGCCGTCTCTCGGTTGAAGAGATCTAATGCGAACAGATTTTATATATGCTGGTGGAAAATAATTATGGGATCACAGAATTAAACGACGATATCTCGCGAATAAAAAACTCAATATCTTTACCAAGTAAAATATTATTTATTTAATTTTTTGCACTTCTTTTGTAATTTTTAATCTTTCACAATTTTATAATTAAAGTTATATTATAATTCATTCTTATGAATTATTCGTGAGTATGATTTTCTAATTGTTTTGGATAACAAATACCGTTTATTTATTACAAACGTGTTGTACAGTTGAGAATTTAGTATTTGTAAGTTGGATAACTTCCGTGTAACTTCCGTTGCAATAAAAAACTTCTGTCCGAATTATGATACTTCCCTCGAAAGCAAGAATACAGTTATCTTTGATCTCATATTCTGCGTGCCCATTAACGTTCAAAAAACCAGAATAGAATGCTCAATGCTACCAGTTTCATGCCAAGTTCAGTTTGCAAGTTAGGTGATGTGCTTCCGCCAGATTCTGAAATAAAATACGGCAACTTTTTATGGACAAGGACGAGAAAGATTCTTAATTTCATGCATATTCTACTAGATTATAAAATAGACAACTCTGGAAAGTATATTATCTTGGCGTTTAACGTGGAAAGGGGATATTTACAAAATTCTGAAACTTATATTAATTCAGCAGTGTTCTTTAGTCTACTACTCTTTATATTATAAAATCACTATAAGTTCATATTTATTTAAAAATGAAATAACTTTCGTTCATATGTTACTTTCTAATAAATATACAAAGTTTTATATGACATCTATATCTGTGTTAAATTATTCAAAATTAAAAAAAGGAACAACGAATAAACAATAATAAAAAATCATTGCAACATTGTTTCAGGATACGAAGACACAAACAGGCTGACTTCTGAAAATACAACAAAATTGATTACAAATTGAATCAAATATAAATTATCCAAAAGTTTAAAGAGGTGAAATTTTGCAAAAATTCAAAGCAGGATATTTCTGCAACACTCCTTCCAAGTACACTGTATAATCTGAAAATCTTTAAAAAGAAGATTTTAAATCTTTAAATCTATATAATAATCTTATAATTAATTCTGAGAATCTTTTCAAAATCCATCTTCCTTCTGCCTGACCAGCGTTACTACAGAATATCTTCTTCGACGAGAAGAACAGATCACATTAGGACCACTTTAGGTAGGACTAGAATTTTTCAACGTTATCCTTCTGCCTTCCGCACATTTTCTCACCGTAATCGTAATATTGCAGCGGTTCCGTGCTATCATCTTCACATTCTTCTGTAACGGATCTAATCTCCATAGGACCCATCATCTTCTCCAGTTCGTTCACCTCTGGCTTACCCTCAAACGCCATTGTCGCGTAATCAGGTCTTCTCTCGCGAATACGTTTCCTGAGGCTCGGACGACCCTTCGCGACGTCGCGAACGCCGATCTAGAAAAGCCAGGAAAAGATTTACGGCTATAAGTACTAACCGTAATCGTAATAGCGCGTTGGCTCCGAGTCGTTCACCGTCCCATCATCCTCATCTTCGTCATCCTCGTCGCTTCCCTCCTTGCTCATGCCGCCGCTTTCTTCGTCGTTCACCTCTTCGTCATCGTCGTCGTCGTCGTCTTCCTCTTGCTCGATGTCGTCATCGCCTAATCGACTTCTCAGAACGGTACGATATCCATGGATGCCTTTAAAGTTCTTGTTTTCCAGGCTATTTTCGCGTAACCCGTACTCATCCTCCTCTTCGTAGGCCTTGCTAGCTTGCAGAAGGTGACGCTGTGCTGCTTGTACCGATTCTATACTGTACAACTTCTCTAGAAAATGTTAGAATGTATGTACCTTAGATTGGAACATTTTGAAATTGAGATGAAGTTACAATCCATGGTAAAAAGTTTTTCATGGAATACAGTAAGAAATTGAGTAAAAACACAGGTATTTTGGAAATGTAAGGTGTTTATTATACAGAGTGGAGTGTGTAAAATAGGAGAGTTAATTGTTTTCTATAGAAGAAATGTGTAAGTGAGAAGTAATATAACAAATGAGAATTTTGAGGGACTCTTTGAAAAATAAAAATAAAAATGTACTTGTCGCTTCTATATTTATAGCGACTTTACTATGGGGGTTTCCAAGTAAAAATTAGTTTTTATAAGGTCTTAATTTTGATCTTTTCTGAGTATAAAACTGTGATTATACTGTGACTCTATCTTTGTTCTATTTGCTGTATTCTTTGTCCATTTTTTTTTTTTTTAAATTGACTGTACATCATTTTCTGTATTCATCAGATTGACCCAATTTCTGCATTCGGTCACGACATACACAGAAGATTGTGGAGTTGTGAGCATAAAAGGTTTAGTACCTTTAAACCTATCATGATCGTCGTTCCCATAAGCTTCGTCGACGTCAATGCTGTTACCAGGATCGAGTTCTCCTTCGAAAGTGAATGTTCCAGAGTTGCTTGAGATACACCCTTCGGTAGAAACGCAAGATTCTGTGAACCTAGCCGCTCTCATAATTCCATCGACGATGTTTACCTCACAGTAACATTTACCGAAGCTATCCGGACAGCTAGAAAATTTCACACTTTTCGTCACGGTCAAGGAACTCAAGGAAACTTCCTGAAATGAGCACGAGCTCACCAAAACGATCCTGGTCCGATGCAATCTATCGCTGGTTTCCGTCTGGAAAAATGTAACAACATTAAAATTACACATTTGCCAAAATAATTCATATCGTTTTAAAAAATAAACGTACATTTTATATATGCAGGGTGAAATCGGAAGTATTCTACAAGAGGGCAGGAGATGATTCCTTAAGCAAAAATAAATGAAAAAATATAGAACAAAATTTGTTCATTCCAGGCCTAATTTTAGAGAAAATCAAATTTGAAAATCATTTGAATTAAGATCGAAATTGAGATTCTCCTAAGAAATTAAACCCGCGGGAATTTTCAGGATACCTTCGGCTGCACCCTGTATAGAAAATACTCGATAATATTATAATATACTTTGTCAGATCTGCTCGAGAAAAAATAATATTGAGATCGTTAATTATTGTATACGATTGTACTAGTTTTTATTTTTAATTACGTTACTTGGTCTTGGCACGATGCAATGGCCACCAAGAATCCTTTACCGCAAGTGTTGTTACATTTTGGGGACGACCATCGTGACCATAAGGAATTAATTTCCGCTGGTAGCGAAGTCAATGGTCCAATTTCTTCGCAAAACTAAAAAATTGTATGTTTCATAAGATTCCATTTAGCCGAATCAAGTAAAGATAATATATGCTAACATTCTAAACGATACAAGCCACCTAAATTATCTTCTGTAGCTATGGTGGCACAAAATTTTTATACGTAATTCAAATAGTTTCAAAAAATAAACAAGATAGAAGAAAAATTTTTTTAATGGTGAAAATGGCAGACAGTTTCACGTTTGACTGAAAATTTTAGAGTCTAAGGTCACTTTAGGGTCATATTATCATGCAATTTGAAAGGAAAAATATAGAGAAAAAAAATAGTTTTTCTTCCATTTTATTCACTCTTTGAAACTATATAAATAGCTCTGAGTAGTGTGGTTTTACGTTAAAACACTGAAGATCAAATATTATTACTGGTTGTCTCTGATGACAATTCGAGGCACATTGGGGAGTGTGAATTCCTTTTACCGTGGTTGAAGTGCATTGTGCAATACCACAAACACCGCGCGGTGAACACAGAGATTCGGGTAAAGGATTTAAGAAACACGTAGGGAATCCTAAAAAATGATCGCTTTATTTAACAATTAAATCGAACGAAATTGTTATTTCGTACATTAGAATGCACGCTTGCTTATGAATCATTGTTTGGAAGCTTTATGCATTAACCCTTTGCACTCGAGTCAATTGTTCTGTAAATAATTAATATTTTACAGAACAACAGTTTGAAAGAACCAACTTCCAAATATAAAATAGTTATATTTGTCAATATACGTACGATTTATTTCTACGTTAATAGTAAAAAGATCTTCGAGCGCAAAGGGTTAAAGATTAAAGTGAACGGATAACAACCTTTCGTCGTATATAAACCATGGCCGGCTATCGGAATGGAACAATTACAGCTTGGGGCACTTTCGACCAGTAAAGTTACGTCGCATAATCGTCTGTGGACTCTTGCACTCGTGTTTGAATATGGAGTGGCTTCGTTAAAAGTACAATCAGCTTTCCTCAGTCTCGTCAGTTCAGGCGAGCACAACTCCCAGGAGTGTAGGTTCAAGCAGGGGCAGATCCCGAGAAAAAATTCACCGACGCCGGAGCTATCCAAAACTTTGGATTCGGAAGGTATGCTACGTAATTCGACGAACAACTAAATATTAAATAGAACTGTATTGCACGAAACTTTTAAACTTGTTAAAGATTTTTCTTTTTTTCCAATTTTTACTGTATTATTTCGAATATATACACTTCCGTTACTTCATTTACATATTTACGTTACGCGAAGATCTAATCGATTCGATCGAAATCGTTCGCGAGAAAAAAGTATTCTGTGCGAAATACTTCTTGCTTACAGCACAAAATCCCTCTCCTATTTCTACAAAAGCACATTGCTGCAGATGTAATTGCCGCACCCAACGTGTTATATCGTAATTCGGTAATTCATCCAGATCTTTGGATATGAACAGAAATGGATCCCAATTGTTGTTGTCCACGTTAAGTTCCTGAATGACTCGATGAGCTTTCCCACGAGAGAGAATTAATACTGTCGATAGAAACGTAAGTATAAACATAGCCTAAGCGTTGACATCATCGATTGATAATGGTTACAAGCTACAGCCAAACAAAGATGTAATAACTTGAAGTTGGTTTAGGTTTAATGAGTTTTTATTCATTTTGTATATACTATACGGTGATAAATATAAAACTGTTTAAATATATGAAAATTTGTATTCAAAGTAGCATGAACCCTTCTCTTATAATAACTCACTAAGTATAAAATATACCCTATCTTTATTACAATAACAAATGTACTCTTGAATACAATGGATACTATATCTGTCATTTTCATTTTTAAATTACTCTTTGGAATGGGTCCAACATTGTTACAGAGTTTTTCATCACTAAAATACGTTTGCAATGTAAAACATGTCATGATAAGTCACATGTTAAGTCAAGTGTCATGACATGTCATGTGTGCTCTTTATTTTTGTTTTGGTACTGTACAAAAATTAGGTTAAGTTTCATATACATTCATTAATAATACATACATACAGTTTTTGTTTTATATACATTTATAAATAATACGATATATTTTGTTTGCAATTTATCTACCACTAAACATCACTCTGGATGTTTTTCAAGATATGCTTTTGTCACAATATCTGTACGTAGTTTTTTAAGTGTAACAAACTCGTTAGTTGTGCATCCTACAACTGGACACCTGTAAATACAACATATAATTAAAGCTATGTGCTAGAAGTGAATTTTATTAAAAAAATATTTACCTAGTTTTTTCGTTAATTTTTAATATTTGTGTGATGCTTTCTCTATCATAGGTGTGACCACATATAGTATTCTTTACAGGATCCACAATTCTTTTTTTTGAAATTGGATCAATTACATTTATGTAGCCTCCAGTTAACAGTAATTCTGCATCTGCATCATCTTCTTCATCTGCTACTTTATCTGTACAAAAAAGGTTGGAAATATATATCAAATATGCAATAAATGTAAAGTACTACAATACTACCTAGTAATGCTTCTACATGTTTATCAAATTCTAAAAGTTTCTCATCATTTGAAGCATCAGTACTGATCTCAGATATAGCTTGCTTATATTCCTGAAAGATATTACTAATTAAAAAATTTATATTATTTGTAATAGATCACTTCATTAATTTATGAACTGTATATTTACTTTTATAGTAGATTCAATATTAGCTTGTGTATCATCATTCTCATCATCATCATCAGCATACAAATTTTGTAACCGATTTTTTATGTTTTCTGCTGACTTTAATTTGTTATCTTGAACACAATTATTAAATACTATATCCCTTAATTCTTGTAATATTATTTTTCTTTCATTGGTTTCTATAAATATAAAGCATAATTATAACAACTATGGAAATATTTAAAAACGAGTATTTTTACAATTTAAAAAAGAAAATCTTACCTTTTTTTTGCATCTTCTGATAGTACTCGATGAATAGAGACGAAATGTAACAGTTTTTAGTCTAGGAATCCATTGGTTCAAAAGTTACGCATTTTTAAAGTTTGTTACTTTTAGTCTACTGTATGGCTTATTGCGTATGACTTTCTTCGTCTTAATCGTGCTAGTACTACATTATATTATTATTATATTTTTTTGATTATATTTTGCCGGTAACCCTTATTCAAAATGTTATTTGACAAACCGAATCGATATATTGATAATAAAACGATATTCCACTACTCTGAGCACAATATATGTTTAAATATGTAAAGAATAAAATTTACCGCCAAAATGGTTATCACGTTAAAGTAAGACGTACAATACGCCAAGAGTACCAATCTTTAAAAACGCATAATTTTTTAACCAATGGATTTCTAAACTCAAAACCGTTATATTTCGTCTCTATTCGTCGAATATTATCAGAAAATGCAAAAAAAAAAAAAAATGGTGCCTAGAAACGAAGTTTAACGCAATCTTTTTAAATATTATAATATCTAACTGTTTCATATTTTTGTAACATTTAATAAAATTGTCATTGACATTAATTACTGCCAATATTAAGAATTTGATCACGTAACTTTACAAATACTTACCATAGTAGGAAATAATGTTAGCAGCACTTTTTGTATAAGAATCGTACAATTCCTCAATTTCTTGTTGAGATTGTGTCATTTTTAACGTTACTATGTATTTCCTAGCTTTCTAATTTTTACTATTTTTTAAATTATTTTGCGGAACTTTTGTATAATATTTCTGTACCTCGTCTGTGATAATATGCACATATAAATACTTGCTGTATAAACTATTTATTTCTATATATAAATACAATAATTTTAGATAGAATTTTCCAATATGAAAAATGCGGCCATTCCGTCTTTCTTAACACTTAACTTCTACTAGCTATCGTAGTTAGGTGAATTTACCGCGAGATGTAGCTTTTACCTCTTTTGAACACCTTTCACCTCAAATGCTAAAAGGTACTTCGTTTTTTACCTGCGCTTTAAATAAACCTTTTGAATTGCCTTGAACTCCTTTGTAAAGAAATCATCAAGCAACCGTTTATGTAGATTTTAGACGGTGAAAATTCAACAGCAGCAAAACTTTCATAGTGTTTAAAATGAAAACTACAGATTTTTTATGTCTTTTTTTGGTAAGCTTACTGTATAATAT